TATTTATATATTTATTTTACATTATACTGAGATTAGTTTTTGGGTACCCATCTACAACCTCTCTATCAATTCATAGAACTTTCGCCTTAGCCGTGCGTTTAAATGATTTTTCAATACAATGCTGACCTGATGGCAATGGCAACACGGCATGACAGTAATCGTATTGAATTAACGAATTTCTAACAGTTTGATCAACGACAACGGTGGCGACCTAAAAATGAAAACAGTGGAATATTATATTATGATTTATTGTACACTTTTTTTATTTAAAAATTAATATATGCGGGTGCGCTGCAGGATTTATAATGAAATATTTTCGGGAGTCCTACAGAGAGGACTTTTGGTCCATTTTCCACCCAGCCGACGGTGTATTATCGTTTGCATTTTTTTCACCCAGGGCTGTCCGTATTTAAAATAACAAGATGTGTGTTTAATATTTATCTTGCGCGCACTTAATATAATAATGTTACACGATATACGTATTAATGGTCTGCGCGCTTATAACTCAGTCACCGACGAGAACAGTTGTGATGTTCAACGGGCACTTGAAAATCTCGATCTCAAATATATGATGATGAAATAGTCGACGAATAATTGAATAAACCTACGACCACCGCTTCGCGTCACACGCGGTTGCTGCGGTAGCGTTGGTGAAGCGGTGCAGAGCGAACACTGAACAGGTCAATGTTTACTCTCGGGCGGCGCTGGTGGGAAGAAATAGTATAATATTTATTTTCGTGAGTTTAACACTCGTTTTTTATTCCGTGCTCCCTGAAAACGGCGTTTTAAAGGTGTACGTCCTGAGGGATTCCGTCTAAATCCGTCTCGCATCATCACTATTATAACAACGACGCTGCCGCCGCCGCCCCCATCCGCATTCCCTTATCTCGGCCTCTGCACGAGTACAGGTCGCCCACTCGCCCATATAGGCGTGCAGTGCATACACCAGTAGAGCTTTGTGCTCACAGCAGATCGCACAATCACCAGTGAGCCTGTCTCAGAGAACGAGAGCAGTTATGACTATTATACATAATACTTTTGGTTTTTAGTCCGTGTCGAGAAGAAAACACTAAATTCGATTCGAGAACAACACTATAATATGTATTAATTTCAGTGCAGATGACAATATTATAGTACATAATAATATATACACGACGCGGACACTGACGTTTTTTCAACAAGCGATCACGACTGCAGTGTTTGTGCTGCACGTACACTTGCCGTGTACGAAACGTTTTTCATGATGATATCGTAATATTGAATCGTATAAAAATGTGCGATAGACGCGGTGTGAACGAAATACGGTTGCCGGTGCGCCGATGGGGCGGAAAAATTAGACCACACCCGGTTACAGGTCTTAAGCGCATAGTACCTACCTATATAGGTATTATAGAGGTACACAGTTTAAATAATAAATTCACCGACGGTGCCCGCGTACAGACGTCGATTTCCTTATAATTTTTCGAACACTCTGCCGGTTCGTGCACGCGAAATGCATTGCAGGTATGCAAATCGCGTACGCGGAACTCGACGAGACGATAAACTCGTTAATTATTATGTCTTGCCAACTCTGCGGCGTGTGCCTACACCATTGCTACCTACAGCCGATCCGGGAATGCGATTCCGTCGTGCGCGTTATAGTGTTCGTATATTCCGTTGAAGTGGCACACAATACACTGTGGCGAGGGCGAGAGTGAGCGAGAGAGAGAGAGAGAGAGTGAGAGATACAGACGCGGAAACTTTAAAGTTTAAACGTTAAATTTCCGGGAACACCGCATGTTAGGGGAAAAAAAATGGATTAACCTCAGAATTTCCAGAGCACTGCATTAATAAAGTTTTGATGAACGCATGAGCTGGGGTCGGTTTTGTATCAAAATTGAATAGGAATCATTTGCGAGCGCTCAGCGTTCACATAATGTATGGGTACTTACTGCTCATACCTATACGTCTCGTAGTTAAAAACTATTACGCGCATTAGTGCAGTATAATATGTATAGCGACGCGTCGGATGAGGCGAACAACCGAATGGCGTGGGCGATTACCCCTCCCGTTACACGCTTGAAATGCGATATAAGACTGTTAGAGGTACTTTTGAATAATTTCGAATTCAATTAAATAGTGCAGGTAATATTGTGTTCTTCGTACACGTGCGCACACAAAGAGAAACAATTTCGGAAAACATAAAACATGTCAATGCAGCAACGTAATAATTGAAAAACTAAAAAGTTTTAAAACGTTCAACCGTCGGTTTTGTGCAAGTTTTTAATAACGATATATTATATTACACTCAGCCCAATTCGTACTCTACGGTGACGGCTGCGTGGACGGAACCGAATATTCCATATTATAATTATGGTTACTGCGCGACAGGCACACCGGCAAGTTGTGTAGTTTTATATTTTTTGTCATTCTCCGACCACGACGGCGGCAACGACGTTATATTGTATCAACTAAAACTCGTACAAAAAAATTCGCAACGGTTATACGCAGTTACTCAGTTTAATTGCTCAAAAAAACTCCACAAAATACCAAAAAAAAATTTTTGCGAGGTTTAACTGACCGTGTAATAATAACCCACCTTTATAGTAGAACACGATTTACGGACGGTCTATAGCTATTAACGTGGTGACTAAGGTTGTAATAATTTTATATAATATATTATTTTTAAAATAAATTGTTGTAACGTTACATAAATACTTTTGAAAAACCTTCTAATTTCTTTTAGAGAGAAGTTGCTGATACAATTCTGTGTATGGGTTGGGTTGTTATTCTATGTAGTTAAAAATATTGTTTGAAAAAAAACTGTTTCTGTTGAAAGAAAATAAATCGGAAAATGAAAATTCCTTTGAGAATAAAAATGTAAAAATATATGTCTAAGGCACAACATTTCAAAAAATAAAAACAAAACAATTTCATCCATCAAAAACCTAAGAGTATTATGAAAATATTGGTGTTCACAGCGTTAGGAAATAAATTAGTGCACTCTGGTACTCAAACGGCTTACGACACGACCGAGCAGAAAAATATACATGTCCGATTGTAGTGATGTAACTTTTATGAACAGTAAAAGTCTAAAAACCTCTATTGACGGACACTATCGGAATGGATATCTCTACGACGTGCATTAACAAAATATCACTAACCATCAGACTATAATGTATTAGTACTCGGACGTTTCGTTCTATTCGTATTCATCTCTTTGTTGGTCGACGTCCTCGTGGTTCGTTCTACACAGATAAAAACCCGTTTCACTGTTGCATTTCGTATAAAATCTAGCAACGTCTCATTAACGAGAAATAAAAACCACGGCTAAGCATTTTAACAATATTAAATTGTCGTGTGTGGGTCGATTTATAACGTGCGAACGTGTGGAATAAAAAAATAAATAAAAAAATGTTTTAAAAAACTAAACAGCACTGCCCGCACACATAATATTGGCGATGTGTGTTTCGACCAAAACATTTGAAATACAATCGTTTCGCTTACGAGTCGAAAAAAAAAATACAAAGAATAACAAAAACGTGTTGAAAAAAATAATTATTAAACCATAATAGTGATAAATCAACGACAGCGGCTGTTTCACGCGCGTCGGAATATTTTCGGTTTCCTGCCATCGCGATCGCCTGCTCCGAGCCCCGGCAGTGCACGTTTTTATTTTACGAGGTCTGCAAAATATTATGGCTCAACTCGATCGTTTTGTATCCAACGCCTAGCCCGACTTAACCAAATCCCTGCTTTGTCAACACATAATATTATAACGTACTATTATTATTCTTGTCATTATTACTATTATTATTATTATTATTATCATTATTATTAAGTGCATCGTATACGTGTTTTAATAACAATGTATATTGTGTACTCTCTCCACACACTCTGCAGATGAACGATAAAAAAAAATATTAAAACATCTCGTGTTCTTTCCCCCACGTGAGTCATATAATAATACACTAATCGCCTTTGTTGCTTCTTAAGCGACGCATTCATGTATGAGATTCCGTAAAATTTGAAATACAAAATTTGAAATAGCTTTTCACTGTACCTATTTACTTATGGCTCACTTAATCCCTCGCACGCTGCAGATGATTGTGTGCGTAAATATATAAAACAATAATTTATCAATCACGTTTACGGGCTTCGTAATAAATCAACTGTAGTGTTTTTTTATATTTAATATTTTGCAGTTTAACATGCGAACGGATCGATATTGAAAAAAAAAACGAACGTGTAAACAATAATTATTTAACTAGTATTTCGCCGAAACACTCCTGAATTCGACCTTCGGCCGTTCGATAAGTGATTTAGGTGACCGCGAAAGGTTAAAGACATCGTGCTAAAGTCTGACGGTTCATAATAATTATTTATCAATGTGTGCTATTAATTGTATGTATTATACAAAAACGATTCTTGGTACTTCTAAAGTACGTAAAAAACTGGTGTGCATTATTGATTTGTGGCATACACTCCTCGGAATATTTCCCTACTCAGATTTCTTTTTCATTTTACATGACATGCAATTGCTGACATTACCAGTAACAAAGAAAAACCTTTTATAAAACGTCATTGCAACAGAGAAATCGCGGTGTTATACTCTGACCTTAATGCATTTTGAAACATAAAGTATGTTGTGAAGTCGTTAATATTCGCGGATACAACTGTTGTGATTGTGCTGCAGATAATGCACACATTTTATGTAAATTGAACGTCACCTATATGGTTAGACGAACAAATATAATATAATATTCACTCTTATAGGACGCAACAGTCGTAAAATCATATTAAAAATAGAAATGCCATAAGATAATAGGTACATAGGTATTTAGCATTAAAATTGTAGCTGTGTTTGAAAATTAGGCTCAAAATCATAAAACTATATTACATTTAATACGACAATGCTCGTGTATTTTAATCTACAATAACATTGTATTATCATTTTAATCTTTTACTATAATCGTATTTTGTTGATCGCTTTTAACGATTTGTTTTTTATTATATTGCAGATGTTTCACGCGTGGACCGTGTAAGCCACAGCGAACCGAAATGTTTGTGACCAACCGCGTCTCGGCCACATGGGCCCTCACGATATTGGCCGTGATCGCGATGATTCGGGCCCACTGCCCGTCGAATTGTTCATGCGATGACGACACCCTGGTGGTCCTATGCAAAGAGGGCAACCTGGACGTGATCCCGATCACACTGAACCCGTCCATTCAGAGACTGATGCTCATGTACAATCGTATCAAGATCGTGGATGCATCGTTCCAGTTTTACGGGGCACTGCAGTATGTGGATATATCACACAACCACCTGGTGAACATACCCAATAAAGGGTTCGAGGCCCAGGAGAAACTCGTTGAGCTCCACCTGAATCACAATAAGATCTCATCGATCAACAACAAGACGTTCATCGGGTTGGCGTCGCTCACCATACTTAACCTACGTGGCAACTATTTGGAAGACCTGCCCGATCGGCTGTTCGCAGCGCTTCCCAAACTAGAAGAACTCGACTTGGGCGCCAACCGAATCACCCGCATCGATCCGGCTTCGTTTCAGGGCCTAACTCGACTCCGGGTGCTGTACTTGGATGATAATCAGCTCCGAGCCATACCCACTCCCGCTTTCAAGTTCCTTGGAAACCTGGCTGAGATGCGCATCGGCCTGAACGCGTTCACCACGCTGGACGATGACTGCTTTGCGGGTCTCGGCCGTCTGTCGGTGCTCGAGCTTACCGGCGCAGCATTGATAAACATAAGTTCCAATGCTTTCAAGGGATTGACCGTTCTCAGGCGGCTGGTGCTGACAGACAACCGGCTATCGGCCATACCCACCAAACAGCTGTCTGACCTGAATCGGTTGGAAGACCTGTGTGTGGGGCAGAACGACTTTGTGACGATCGAACCGAACGCATTCAAGGGGCTAGCCAACTTGCGATCGATCGACATATCAGGTGCGTCTCAGCTGTCAGTTATCAAAAAAGGCGTTTTTAACGACAACCTCAACCTAGAAACGATAAACTTTAGTAGCAACAAACAGCTAGCGACCATTGAGAACGGTGCATTCATGGGGCTACCTAACCTCCGGAACTTGATCATGCGCAACAACGCATTCACGTCATTCGCCGAGGCTATGGTCACATGGCAAGAACTGCAGCAGATCGATCTGACCGAGAACCCGCTGGTGTGCGAGTGTTCAGTGCTGTGGCTCAAGGAGCTGCTGGCCCGCCGCAACACAAGCCACGTGAACTGCGCCAGCCCGGCACAGCTCAAGGACAAGCCGCTCAACTCACTTGGGTCTGACGACCTATCTTGCGCCAAGTACTATACCAGGCAGCAAGCCATCGTGGGTGCGGTGTTCGGGTGCACTGTAGCATTTATAGCGCTCATGTTGCTGTTGGCGTACCGGTTCCGGAAGCGTCTGCATCATTCGCTGAAGAAGACGTTCTGGAACAAGGAGACGGTGAACCGGAAGGACCTAGAATACCAAAAAACGTTCTCGGACGACGAATTTATCGTACGGAACACAAATACACAACATCATACTGGTCCACATGGACACCAACCACAGCAACAGCAACAGCAACAACAACAGCATCATCATCACCACCAGCCCCAGCACCACAACCCTCAGCAGCACAACCAGCACCATGGTGGCGTTCAACACCACAGTCAGCCACAGCAGCACAAGCAGCAACACCACCACCTCCAGAACTTTCAGCAGCACATCCAGCAGCAGCAGCATCAGCATCATGGCAACGACCATCACATGATGATGATGATGGCGCCGGCACCACCACCTCCACCACCTCCGCCACTGCACCATGGCACGTACAGTCATCACAATCAACACCTGTACCAGCCACAGCAACCACGCCACCAGAACACGATGCCACATCGCAACGACAAGCCGATACCGGTCACGGAACTGTAGCTAGAGCTTTTCGCCTCAACGCCAACGGGCGAGAGGCGATACCAGACCGCCGGAACATCCGACGGTACTACTAGTGTCACCGGCTTTTCATACATTTCAGGCGAAATCTGCAAATATGGAGGTGGTGGCCAAACGTTGAATAATCGATCTCTACCACCGCCCGGTTACCGTGTTTACCACCCGCACTCTCTCCGTCGTTTTTGCGACTCTTAAGCCCAGCCACAAATAATACGCACTTGCCAAGCCCCGTTTTACTTGCCCCTCTGCCCTGACGACCCTGATCGCACCGATAAAAATAATCCAACGCACACGATCCACTTTGCCATTTTCCTCCAAATCATATGCCACTGATTAACCGCCACCTTGTAGCCGGCACAAGTGCTACGGAAGTTGTCGTCTCGAGTGTGCTAGTGGCTGTGGGATGAAGGAGAGGCTAAGAGGCTTTTGTAAACCAGTTACGCACAGATCGGTAACATGTAAAGCACGCGATATGCCTCATTGTATGTACGTGTTGGTGTATAATATATACCAGCTGGTGGAAATTCGAAAGAGTAAAGACTGTAGTCGTTGTGTTTCACGGGATACGTTCATGATCGAGTCCAGAAAAATATTCAATATAGAAAACCGACACCGTCGCGGCCCTACTGTATCAAGGCATCAACATATATCTGTGTTTGGAGAACGTTGGACACATACATTCTCTAGATCTAGTCGTAGAGTATTAGTTTAAAAGATAAATTTATAAAAAAAAATGTATGTTTTGTAAAAAAAAATAATTTAATACTTTTTTTGTTGTTTTCTGATCAAACATTCATTGTTTATATGATCGTCCCCTTGTATGGGTCAGACGTTTTTCAATAAATAAATAAAGATATTGTTGTCGTAATCCAAACCCGACGATTTTTTTTGTGCTAATAATGATCAATTTCAGAAATCGTCATTATAATATGTGTAGCTCTCTACTTTTTATAAAATTATTATTACTATCATAATATTATATATGTTATACATAAATATTTAAAATAACTTACTTAACATAATAATTACTCTCTTTTTTTATATAATATAGTATAATATTCAATACGGTTTCATAGTGTATTACGTCATAATATTATAATGGTATTTTTCTAAAAAAAAAAAAAGTGAAAAAATAAAATAAAATTCATTTTGATTATTAGTAGTGTTGTTAGGGTTGAAAAATATATTATTACGCAATTATTATATTACGTCTTTGTGCTTCTATGGAATGTTTTGAATTAAGTAGCCTTAGAAAAAAAATACACATAACAATGTTATCTAATGAAAATCTGTTGCATTTACCCGTAAAGAAATGCATGGTAGACGACTGCACATCGGTGTCGCATTCACTGCGTCGATATGCATTATGTATTTTCCTCATATCACACGGCCAGATTCCTGCAGAGTGACACGCTACACAATCCGCCGGATATATTATATTAGCTATTATATTCTTCTCTCGGCTATCTGTTTCTACAGTTGACGTTGTAAAAATGAAAAAAAAAAATGGTTTAAAACGATCTCTCACAGTTTATTGGTAAATTAAATTATTATTATCATTTTTTTTTTTGTTCGCTCGCTTTCCAAAGAGGCTCTACGGCATTCGATGTCAACGCGATCCCGCATCCACGGTCTCATTTCCTTTTATAATTGTTTTTTGTTTATTATTATTCGATAATTTACTTTTTTATACAACCGTATTAGTGTTATTATTTCTACTCGGCCACCCCCTTCTCACCCTCACCGCTGTACACTCATAATAATCCCCTCGATTCTACACAGTCTACTGCGGAGCGACGAGTTTTCGAGTACTTCGAATCTGTCCTCACTCGAGTGCAATAAGGTTCCTATGCACACACGCGGCAACGTCGTGCACTGTGTACGCTGTTTGAAAACCTTGCAGCCTCCACGGGCGCGTTCGAAAATTATTAAACGGCCCTACTCTATTTATTTATCGATCGACATTCCGGTGTAAATACATCAGCGGCTACTTCGTACAACGGTCTTAAACGAAATCCAACAACCACACAACCGCACCGACTACAGGTATATAGGCACTAGAACAGTCGTTTGTGGTGACGGTTATTAGACGCTGTCTCGCATCGATTTTTCGGTCGGTTTTTTATTAAAGCGCGTTTAACGATTCCAAACTGCCGATACAACGCGATAAAACAAAATAATATTATGTAATCGAATGGGCCTCGTAGCGTTATAGTTTAACCACTCTTCGGTGCCGCAACAAAACAAAACAAAAAAATGTTAATATTTACTATAAAGGCTCTGTGATAATGATATTTTTGCGTGTGTCTGTCATTTCCACAGTAGATTATAATGATGATCGTTTTAATTAATCATCTACGTGTCCCCCGAGTACGCGTTCAATTCCTCAATTCCTACCTAGTAATATTATGTTCACGTATATTATCTGACCTCTTCAGAATTTTTACCTCCTTTTAACTTGAATTAATTATACGTAAATGTTGAGTTCATTGTTATTATTATTATTATAATTTTTTTAACCCTTCAAAAATAATTAACAACTACCCTCCATCCAACACGTTTCTCTTAACGCGTTTTATTTTTTTATTTTTTCAACTGCTCACACAATTCAGCGAAATATTTGACCACAAAGGCGATCTATTATTTATGGTCGTATGAACTTCATTATCAGCCATTATCACTTTTTATTTTCGTAAAGTTGTGCGAAAACCTCTTTTATTTCTCGACACGTCATGTTTTCATTACAATGAATTTATAAGAAATTTAAGTTGTTTTCGTTTCAACACATTTCCCTGTCTATTTTGAAGTTTACAAACACAATTAAAAGTTAACATTCATATTCAGTTAACATTACACATAAATGACAATAGCGTCTTAGAGTAGGAAGCTTACAAAAGCAATGGTGAAAATTTGTTTGTCCAATATTCAAACATAATTCTACCGCGTAACAATGGTTAATTATATATTTTAATTTTTAACTATTCAATTCGGTTGTTAATATAATACATTGTTGGACATTTGAAATAAATTAACAGCCTTTCATGTTTTAAACCATATTACTAAAATAAGAACCCTTTCATTTTCTTTCTTTCACCTGCAACAGTTACTAATAATCATTCATTGCTATAATTATTTTTCTTAAATTAAAAGTAACTTGATTATTACAGAGAATAATACCGCCTTATCTATTGCCATAAATAGGTCAGCCTACTATATATTATATATATATACCTACGAGTGTATATCATGTACATAATATATGTATAATATTGTAAGTGTGAACAGAAGAGCTACCACATTGCTTAATTGTGTCAGTTATCTTTATTAACTAATTTATTGGTTTATACCGAATCAGGCAACGATGCATTATTATTATATATTTTATTATTATCATGTAATAATAGTATTTAATTATATCCAAATAATCATACTACATGCCTAACGGATAAACGGACATTCGTGTATAAAATTAGTGATTTTTCTCAAACCTACATTCATTTAATACTATAATATACTATTCTTATTATATTTACGTAATTATGATATTGTATTGTTTACACATTGTAAGTGAAAATCTTGATTTCCGTGTTTGTTTCGTATTATTTATATATATATATATATTACATTATTACCTATATTATTATTAATTATTATGTGTATAATATATATTATGTAAAATGCATATCATTTGTATTTGATTAGGCCATAGCTGCGAGCGTCATGACTCGAATTATTAATTTGAGTTATAACGTTGTATTATTTTGTACTTATATAATATTATTATAGTGTATAAAAATGTATAATTGTGTACTGTACAGAATGTTAATTATATTTGATGCTCATAAAAATACAAATGTTCGTTGTTTTATGGTACCTAGTCGTATGATTTAGTGTTGTGTACACATTGGTGCAACTATTTGAATACCCCTCCCATGCACAGTACCGGGACAACCACATAACAGATCAACAGACGGTCTCGGTGACAATAAGTCATGGAGAATATTACACAAAAACGTAAATTTTATTTGACCGTCTACGGCTGACTATGAATACTATATCATACAGATACTCGGGGATGTGCTTATATATTATACGCATTGTATATTATGTAGACCAAAAGTTCCGGTTCGCTTTTTACGTTTTTTATTGTTATAAGAATAAATCGATAACGACAAAACGGCAGGAGAATATAATAACAATAATAATCGTAAAAAATGTATAAACGTTTTTTTTTTTCGTATCATTTATCACCACTTATATATTATATTTATTTATACCATAATATTAAAATAGTGATTGATAATGATCGTTTTTTTTTCTTTGAAAGTTAGACTACCGCTTTGTTATTATTATCATTTTAATTGTTTTAATTTCAATTTTATGATTTCCATAAAAACTATTTTGAATGAATTAGGTGCTGTGGAAATATGTATATATTATAACTGAAATTACTGACAAAAACAACAGTATAAACCGTAAAGGATTATTGTAATAGATAGTCTATTAAGTAATAACCCCAAAGACAATATGGCCTACATTAAGTAAAATAGTTAACTACAATAACAAATAGATACGCGTATAATCCCGGTTAGCAACTACTTATTACTAATATCGATACAAATAACTGATTTGACTTGACTTCGATACAAACGCTAGCTATAACTAATACAACGATGGAGTACAAATTATCAGTGTACAAATACAAATAATGATAATATTATATTACTACAGATAATTACTTAAATTCACTACAGCGAATGTATAAAATGAAATATGTGCTTGATACGCCGATAGAATTGTAAACGTTAAAATGGACGTCAAGTGGGTTTTATGCACAATATTACGCTAGGAGTTATAACTATATAATTAGTAACAAACATTATCTAAGAATTTGTTATAATTTGATAGGTCATTTGTGGACTTTTCTAAGGCACCTAAGTTTTATTAAGTCTCAGACAAACGTCATGCTGGTGGTATTTTTGCAAGTGTTAATGTACATTTTCCGATTCCAAAAAAAAAATTAATTAACTGTTTTTTCCATTACAATAACACTTTGTGTGAAAGTTGAGTAATTTTTGAATGGATAACTTTTGAACAAATCACTTATAATGAGATTAAAAGTAAAAAAAAATCGCCTTTTTAAGGAGTTGAAACTCAAAATAGACTTAGGCGTTGGAGTCATGGATGCTTCATTAGATTCATGACAGAGAGATGACTTTCAAAATCAAGTAAATTTGTTTAAATAAGTAGTGACAATTTTTTTTTGGAATCGGACAATGTACAGGTTTTGATGTAAAATTG